GCCCCCCCCCCCCCTCCCGATTCGCCGACTCCACTACTTTGGCCACTAGATCGAACGGAAAAATGCACGTGTACGCGACAGATGACAGGTCCCCACCCCCCCTGAATATGTCGGAGCTTGCGACAGATGACAGCCCCAACCTCCCAGTGCTCCATGTCGGCGATCCGGTTATGTAAGCTTGAGTATGTTTTGACACCGCGCCTTGCGCTCTGCTCTGTTGAGTCGCTTTGACTCAAACGCGACCGGTAGCAAGGTCCGGTCCGTACCGGTACCCTGCAAAAGTACTGCTCCAACGGCGAAGTCAGAGGCGTCGAGGTCAAGTGTACAGGGTAACCGGGGGTCGTACGGTCGCAGAATAGGTGCATGAGTAAGTGCAAATTTGAGGGATTGAAACGCAGACTCGTGCGAATCGTTCCACTCGAATTTGCACCCCTTTTGCAAGAGGTCGGTCAGAGGTGCGGCAATGTGGGAGAACCTACGAATCGTCGATAAAAGCCAGCGAGACCGAGAAACGAGCGGATATCGTGGGGATCAGCGGGTCGGGGCCATTTGCTTATGGCCTCCATTTTGCAAGATTCCATGCTTACCCCGTGCTCATTGATGACGTGGCCGAGGAAAGTGACCTCGGTACGCCACAATTCACACTTGGACTCTTTGGCGTAGAGCTTGTGAGCGCGAAGGCGTGTGAAAACCTCGCGGAGTAGCCGTTCGTGCTCTTCTGCAGAATCGGAGTATATTAGAATATCGTCGAGGAAAATGACCACGCCCCTATCCAGCAAATCACCGAAGATTTTGTGCATTAAGTCCATGAATGCGGCCGGGGCGTTAGTCAAGTCAAAGGGGAGGACAAGCCACTCAAAATGACCGTACCGGGTTCGAAAAGCAGTTTTTTGTGACGTCCTCTGCCGCAATCGGAATTTGCCAATATCCGGAGCGCAAGTCAATTCTGGAAAAGACTTTTGCGCCATGCAATTGGTCAATGAGATCGTCAGCACGGGGCAGAGGGTACGCATTTTTGACCGTCTGCTTGTTAAGCCCCCGGTAGTCGATACAGAACCGGAAACCGCCGTCCTTCTTGGGCGCGAAGAGAACCGGGGCGCCCCAGGGGGACGCGCTGGGGCGTATGAAGCCCTTGGCGAGGAGGTCGTCAAGGGTACATCGAAGCTCTTCCAGCTCGGTTGGGGATAGCCGGTAGATGGGGCGGTTGACCGGGGTAGCCCCCGGCAGAGTTTCGATGTTGAAGGGCATCCACCGGTCAGGTGGTAGGTGTGCGGGAAGATCCTGAGGGAAGAGGTCGGGGAATTCAGCCTTCAATTTCGCGCAACGTTCGAATTCAGCGGCTTAATTTTCGGTTATGTCAGGGGTAACGTTGGGAACGACTTGGAAGACAGGACCGTTTTTCTTTAAGATTTTTTTCATTTGGACTAAGTTTAGGACCCGATCGCCGTACTCCTGTTTTAAAGCGCGCTTAGACGGCCTTCCGGCCTCCAGCGTTACAGGCTTGGCTGCGTGGATGAAAGAAATTTGGCGCTTCTTCCAGTCAACACGCTTGTTGCCAGATTCAAGCCAAGGTAACTTCCCCAAAATGATGTCGTAGGTTATGTCAGTTACGGTAAAATGTAGGTCCTCGGCATAGTCTGAACCGGCGGAAAATGGCACGACTTTGACTGTCCTATGGACCGGTTGATATGAACCATTGGCAAGTTTGACTCCCTGACCGTCGGTAATCTCAGCAGTTTCTATCCCTAACCGAGCAGCAAACGACGACGACATGCAATTATCTGACGAACCGCAATCAATGAGTAGTGACTCTGCATGCACGACCTGACACTTGTCCACGTAGAAATATCAAGCGAGAAGAAGGCGGGGCATTATGCCCCGGGCCTGCTGAATGGTTCCTGGGGATAGAGGGCTTAGCTCTGTCGCTGCCAGAAGACGTCCCGGGACCGTCGACTGGAGCATTTAGCGCGAGGCTCGGGGGTCTGGAAGTCGATCAGGTCTGGGTGCTCGGCAGGAGCCACCGGGTGCTCGACTTGAGCGACACTCCTCTGCAAGGGGGGTTTGCTGGGGCACTCAGCAATCAAGTGTCCCGGTTGCCTGCAGTAAAAGCAACCGCCGATCTTGAACAAGCGCGCTCGCTCGGTCTGGGTTAGTGGGGTCGGTTTGCGCCGAAGCGCATCGATCTCCATAGGGACAGGGCCGGTCCCACCAGGGTTAGCTAAACTGATGGGGGCGCCGGGGTTAGTAAAACTCAGAGGGGTTTGGGCCCTAGAGGTCCACACCCCATTAGATGCAAAGGTCGAGCAAAACCAGATCGGACTGCAAACCAGCAGAGCCCCACAACGAGTCGTAGCGGTCAGCAAGCTTAACCGCTTCCTCGAAGGTTTCGGGCTCACGCATGATAACTTCCTGACGAGTGCGCGTGGCTTGAGACCGCGGATGAACCGGTCCAGAAGTTCTTCGTCTTGGATATACCGGGTACCTGTAGGGCTAACTTCTGCATGGACTGGGCGTAAGTCCTGACACTGACATCTTGCCTGAGACTCGCAAGCTTATCTCGAGCATGGCGTGTGGAGTTAACAGCCCTGAACCGGGACAAGAGCTCGGAAGTAAATGCATCCCAAGAGTACAAGGTCTCGTTGCCCCCATGGGCCACGCCGCATGAGTACCGCCACCAAGACTTAGCACTCCCAGTCAGCAACCCAGCAGCCAAGAATACCTGCTTATCAGCAGGTGTCTCCATCCCGTGGAAATACATCTCACAGTCGAAAATGAAGTTCTCGTGACCGATCCTGCGGTGGACGAACCATCAAAGACCTCGGGAAACTTCAGCCTGCGATTCTTACCACCACCTGTACCAGCACCCGCTACTGCTGGTGCTGGTGCCTGTGGTTTCGCAGCAGGTACCTCAGCAGGTACCCCTGCACCCCAGCTGCAGCTGCAGTCGCCTCCATATGGGCCTGCATATGCTGCATCTGTCCAGCCATTCCGGCGACCACCTGAGTAAGCTGGTCGATAGCTGCTTGAAAAGCAGCTCCGCCTTGAGCTCCGGGGTCAATGTCAACCATGGCGCTGGAAAAAGGAAGCTGGCAGGGAAGAGGGGACTGGACGTAGAGTCAAGGGGGAAGATAGGTGAGCTGAAGGAGGAGAGAAGGAAGCAGAACCTCTGATACCAATGTAATCTCAAGGTAATTTCACTAGCCTAATCAGAGACTTATACACTAGTAGGGAGTTTAGCGGGGAAGAGCGGAGCTCGGAAGAGGAGAAACTTGCTAGGAATTGGGATGCCTCAAACTTGGTAAACCAGAAATGAGGTCTTACACGGTGGAGAAGTCCACCTTTATAGTTGAGCTGCAGCTAGTGCAGCTCCAGTCACAAGATGCAACGCAAGATAACAAGCAAGTGTGCAGCATGAGCAAGCAGACTTAACGGTCAAATGCAAGCAAGTGACCGTTAAGCAATGGTGGCAACATATCAATCGAACGGTGCAGGAATGCCACGTAATCCTATAGATGTCGTGGCAGCAGAATATACGGTCTGGATGAAGCACGTGCTACAGATATAAAGCTTAGGTAAACAGGGGGTAAACGGTTTGCTGAAACCTGGTCTTTCAGCCCAGAATCTGGTGGCAGCACTGCATGGTTCCAGCAGAGCTCTATCCTGCCTGTTGCATGCTACTATTGCTAGCTAGGAATGGTATAAGAATGGTGCTAGGAATGGTATATATGCAGCATTCGTATAGGCGCTACGAAGGGGTCATTTTGAAAGGTGTGTGAGCTCTATTTCCCCCTTTCTCAGCATGGCCACGGCTCAAGCTTCCTTTTGCGTTACAAGGTCAGCGGCACCACCTTTCAAGCAGGCAGATAAGCGCTGCAGCATCGTCTGTGATGGATGGTGCATTTGGCAGGACGGAAAGCTGACGTGCAACACCAGCCTCCTTCACAGGGCTCCATTGCTGCAAGATTGCAGCCAAGCCCAAGTGCTTCGTTGAAAAGGCTCCCCTAATCAGACCTGCAGCCTACTCGTGTAGCGATTGCCAGCAATGCTTTGCTTGGGGGAGGAAACATCGGCAAGTTTGGTCAAAGGCGGGCCGGGGGTGTCCCTCCAGTGTACAATTGCCGGCCAGTCCAGGATATTGTGCACTCGTCATCGTTCAGATAACCAGTGGTGATCAGGGCAGTCCTTGGAATCGACTGGTCAGACGACGGTCGTGAGTCTGAGAGCAAGAAATGCCTTAACTGCGGGCATCTGAAGCTGCTGATAGACTTCAGCGCAACAAATTCAAGTGCTGATGGGCTGACCGACTCATGCAGAGCCTGCCTGGCGGTCTTTAGTGCCAAGCGGCTAGGTAAAGAACTGGGACACCTTGATGTGACCATCGATGAGGCGTGGGAGCGCGCCAGAACATGCACCTGCTGTGGGTGCATGAAAGAGGTGCGCAACTTTGGCTTAAACAGGGCGGCGAAAGACGGATGGAGAGTCTGGTGCCGGGGGTGTGAATTCCGGAGGTGAAGTCCGCGCCAGAGTTCGATGTCGACAAGAAGCGGCGGAGCGGGCTCCAGGGAATGTGCAAAATGTGCCGCAACGAGTTGTACAAGAGTTTGTCTTTGCGCCGGCAGGCGTTTGCAGGGCACGCCGTTGCTCCAAGGGCTGAGAGGCTGTGTCAATCATGCAACAAGGTGAAGAAAGCGGGCGAGTTTCACGCTGATGTGAGATCGGTGGACGGCCTCGTATACGCGTGCAAGACGTGCAGTCTGGCCCAAGCAAGAGCTCGGTACCGGGCAAAGAAGAGGATAGCGGCAGGGTCGTTCAAAGAGGTGGAGGCATCACCTCCAAGCTCTGGGGCATGAGTCTAGTCAGACTGGAGTTACAACCCACAAATCACCGGCGTTGTAACCACGAGGCCCTCTGCTCAAAAGTCTTACCCGCTTTGAGGAAAGCGTAAGCACTTCTCGAGCGGCGGAGCTCCCTCATGATTGCGTGTGCATGCGCACGCGCGCGCGAGCTGGAGGAACTGGCCCCCGTACGAGGAGCAAAACTTGAAGGTGTGGTGGGAGCTGCTGTTTGTCGAGTATCAAAGGTGGTGGCGTGTGCAACTGAACAAGGAAAAGTGGATCCGGGACCAGGTGGGTCAGTGGGCTAACCAAGAATGGTCTGAGATTCGAGTCTCAGAACACTTGTGCAGAACTAGATCTGAGTTAGTCTGGTTAAGTAGGTCAATGCGCACTTACAGTCTCGGTTTCGTAGGGTGGGAAAGAAGTTTGTGATTTGATTTGAGCTAGAGAGTCGGTCAATGTCTACATGTTGGAGGCCGGTTGTCTGAATGGGAACTCTGGGTTGAGGGGGGAAAGTACTGGGTGACCGGCGGGTTTCTTGAGTAAGCCTCGCGTACTTAACAGATGTTGAGTTGGCAAATGTGACGCTTGTTGCGGAATAGGAAGCCTCTCAGCTTGTAGTTTTGGGATTGCATTTCTGAAGGTCGACATCAAAGAGAAAGAGATGTGGAGTGGGGAAGCAATTCAGTTTGTGAGTCTCTTTGCTTTCTAAATTCTTGGGCTATATTTTTGCTTCGCGTACATTTCTTTGAGGGATTCGGGTATGCCACTCACTGGATTACACCCAGACAAAGTCAGGTGATACTTCTTTGCCAAGTAATCATAAGGTTTGCTCTTGCAGAAGTCGAGCTTGTTTCTCAGGACCGTGCTTCTTCTGCAGAGTAGCCCCTCTTTTCTTCTTTGTTGGAGTCTTTTGTTTCCCGATTGACAAGACTCGTGTTCCTCCTGTTGAAGGACGAATACTGTAGTCGTGAAACCCGTTGATCCTGGTGTCAAAGGCCGAAGTTCTCAAAGGTTCTCGAAAACAGCAGAGTCAGAAAAGGAGTCGAAGGTGTCATATTTCATTGGCTCCACAAATTCGTTATGCATTCGAAATTCTAAAAAGAAATTCCGTGCTTCTCGCATGCAGGTCCTTACGCTTGTGTACGCTCTCTGTGGGTCCACCGTCGAACTCGGTTACGCGCCTGGGGCCCTAGCCCCCATCTCTCATGACTGCGGGCAACAGAAGTCGCTCCCCGTCCTGCTCATGGCATACAAAAGATGCCGCAGGGAAGACAAGTGTCAACCGCCCACACGTCCCAGATTGAAGGAGAGGGCCAGCCCCGGCCGTGAAGTAGAAGGAGCCGACACAGTTTAGGAATAGTAAGCTTCAGGAATAGTAAGCTCACCAGCCTGGGACGGGTAGGGTTAGTTTGGGGGTTAGGGTGGGTACAAGTGCGGAGCGGGTAGTTCTTATAGGTTAGGTTTTTAGTGTTTGGTTTGAGCTTACTATTCCTACGGCTTACTATTCCTAAACCGTGCCGTCGTAAGTAGAAGAGCGGGTTTGAGGTAGCCAGGTGGGTTAGCGCATGTGGCGATATTTGGTTGGGGTTTGTGCCGAGCGGGCCTCGCTCTTCTGTGGAGGTCATTGCGTCTTGCAGTGCATGGAGTTTTGCCGGCTGTTGAAGTTCCAGAACGGAGCGGTTAAGAACGGACAAGATATCCTATGTCGAGCCAAATGAAACGGTTGGCAACTCAGGCTTCAAAAGCAGGAGTGTTTGTTCACCCACCGAGAATGGTAGTCAAGAATCTGTATTGGTTGTTTGGCATATGATACTTTAATTGCAATCGTTGAGCACGTTCTGCGAGCCCTGTGCCAGTGGCTTGCAGTGACTAGGATCAGATCGACGCTAGCGCATATATGGATCATGAAGAAACTAAGTGACTTTATGTCATGAGCTAGACTGATAAGGCAAGTCTGTGGGGCCTGGCAGACCTAGTTGCTTGCACGAATACGAATTCCTCTGAGATCGATAAAGTTCGGGCCTGACGCGCCCAGGCACAAAGCGACCGTCTTAGTCAAAGATCGGGACGGTCTCGTCGCGACATTGGCTATGCATTGAAGATAGGAACAAGCGTCACGCCTTTCTCGACCTTATTCGCTCCAGCTGTTGGGATATATGACATGGCTGGATGTCAGTTAACCTTTATTTTTCATCGATTAGAAATCAAACGTCCAACGCGTGCTTGTAAAGTATTCCGAACGACCGTCTGCATGCTGCCCTCAATCAATCGTAGCCTGAAAGAACATGCTGCTTGGGAGACGGCACTGAATCTGGATTACTGCCGCTACCACCTTCAGGCTTGGCAACGCGTGTGTATTTGCAGACACAGTCGTACATTCGCCCTTTGAGGTACTCCGCTACCTCCTTGTGCTTGATCTGCACACGTGCCATAACGCCGTTAAGTTGCCATGATCCCTGATCCGGGCTGCCAAAGATTTTCTTCTTGCCACCGACTTATAATGCATCGACTTCCACATACGCAGTGTTGATAGCCGAATCGACAGGCGACACGAGAGAAGCAGACATGCTAAAATCATAGCTGTGAGTCGACGATGTCGCAGCGGGACCTTTCCTCACCATTCCTAGGTTCAGGGAGTCGACCTTCAGCTTCGCATACAGGTTGGTTTCTATTCCCCGGCCCTGAAAGAGAAGCGGGCGACCCAGTTGAGGGATTTTTGTTAGAAAAACACACTTCTTCCATCAAGTCCTGTATGCCTGGTCGAACCAAAACACAAACATGAGCGCTTGGCTGTAGGAGCTCGCACAAAGTAGGTTTCAAGGAATCTCAGCAAACTCCGCAAATATCGACAACGAAGCATTTAATAGCACACTAATTTGCTGGGTAGTGGGGAACAACACGTCACATTCGTCGAGGTTGCGGGGTTGCAGGCAATTGAAAGGGCAACTACGCACAAACAACCTTGCACGTAACGACCTCACTGAATCCTCACATCACACTTACTCTTCCGGTTGCGGTTATTCCTTGGTGACTGTTCCAGTTATGGTTACAATCGCTCTTCCCATCGAAATTTGACGGTTAGGGCTTCTCTTGCAAATACAAGGACTCTTACGGTGTCCAATTTTGAAACGGGGAATCTTATGCTTACGGTGTTCCATCTGCGTTGTCGATGCTCTTCCAGGTTATGCTTACCGTTACGTTTACAGTGGCCCTTGAAACCAGAGTCTACGGTAAGGTTTCGGGGTGTATCCCGTTCAAACCAGGAGACAAGCATCGGTACTGAGTCAGAATCAACTTAAGGAGACGGCGCGGCTTACCATCCCCTCAAAGACAACTAGATCGGCGTCCTCGGCGACCCAAGCAAGCTCCGGGGAGACGGACGTCAGGTCCAGAACCTGCGTACGTAAGATGGCACAGCCTTAAAACTCTGTTGGAGCCAAAAGGTGATTGACAGAAGGCGGCCAGATGTGACTTTAGGGGCGTAAGACGGATGAACGCTCTGCGGAGGCGTGAGGCGTTCTCTTACAGCGGAAATTCCGTGTCTGTCAAAAGGTGCCGGACGTCCGTGGAGGTCGGAGTCGGACGAACCCGTCTTGAAAGCAGGCGTTCGAGACGACCAGTGGCTGTCAGATAAGCACCGGACGTCCACTTGGAGGAGGTTAACGTTTTCCAAGGGCAGCGTCGGTTGCAAACGATCAAGCGCTGTGATCCCGCTAGAGGAAGCATGCTTTGCAAATGCGTCCCCTATTCCCCAGCGAACGGCGCAACAACGGAAGCAGTTCTTGCACTCTCTTAATCCTTACTCGGGATGAACTCTGATTGAGCACTCGCCAGCTCCTGTCAGGCGCCCAGAGCAGCTACTAACGAAACACAGACACGTGGCACACTTGGTGACGTGGCTCACCGGAAGGTCGCTGCCGGAGTTGACGACGAGGAGGCTCCCGTTGTCGAGCGCCGCTTGCAACGGCTCGTCGTCAATCTGCAGCGGGGCCACATACCGCGGTTTGCGTAAACTTGTCACGAAGTCGACCGCGACCATTGCCTCGCACAGTGAGTGACGTCACGAATGCCAATCGCGACCCTGAACGTCGATCCGATCGACAATCGACGGATTGAGGTACCAGCTTTGGCGATGACGTCACAAATCCGGTGCAAGGGTGTCGCACCGATTCATCGTGCACTTGGGTGCTCCGCTCGCCAGAAATTTGTGATCGACGGGGTTTCGAGCAAACCGCTGTGCCGCGCTTCCGTTCTGGCCCGGCAGAGAGTCGTCACTGACTGACACGTTTCACCTGCTTCAACGATTATTCGACGAGCGAAGCATGGACCAGGACGTGAAGCATTCGCTTGGTCTGTCAGCGGGCCCCAGCAGGGAGAGGATTTTAATCCTCAAAAAATATGAATCAATAAAAAGTATACAGTTCATCGTTGAAACCACTGCAAGGCTCAAGGATGATACGCTTCGGTAGCGACTCCATTACGGTTCCAACATTGACATGTCCGCAGGCCACAAAGGCTGTTGCATTGTGAGAATCCTAATCTCCCCTTTCCTCCCTCTCCAAGCACAGCCCACCTTATGCACGATGTCGCTCAGCTCCTCGTATGTGATGTCGTTGATGGAGGGCAGGTCGTTGGCCGCCAGAACAACCTGCAGGAGAAAACAATAGCAGGTTTCTAGTTCTTTCGTGAAGCCGCAATTCCCGTTTCGCCATATCTCCTTCCGCTGATAGAAAGGATGGAGAGGGAGAACATTGACTTCCGAGCCGACAGTAGAGGACCCTCCTTACTAGAACGCTCTACGATCGACGGTCTGGGTTGACTGAAACTATCAAACTTGAACATCGATCGTAGGGTTTGTAAATTGAAGGGGGTACCCGGGGAATCCACCGGCAGTCCCTGTTCTCCTTCCATCCGTTCTGTCAGCAGTGACTGAAGTGCGGCGAATGATGAACCTACTCAGATTCGAATTCGACCATACATCGAGAACGCACACGCTTACTGCAGCGTATTACCTCGTATCACAGGAACAGGTCGTGTTCTGCTCCTCGTGCGACTTCTCTCAGCTCACATGAACGCCTTCACACGAACTTCGGGGTTGAGTATCTATTTCTCGAAGAGATCACCCTCGAAAAGGTTTTGCCCAACAGATGCGCCGGGAGCCGAAGATTCAGAGCGGCGCTCACCCGCGTCCCGTTCCGAATCAGCTCCCGCGCCAGGGGTATAATTCCCAGGATGACGTCAGCGCCCGAGTTGTCCACGAACACGACGGCCTTGCTCCACCGGGGAGGGCCCGCCAGCCACGCCTCCTTCAGCGCGTCGAAGTCGTCGATGGCCCATGGCCGCGGGAGCAACTCTGCGAAGCTCTTTTTGAAGTCCAGCTTGCCCGCCTCTTGTTCCGCCTGAGGGAAATAGGTGTCTAGATATGAAGGTCGACGGAAGGACTCGATGATCCGTCGAGGGACTTTGCTCGAGTCTTATACAAACAGGCCAAGAAAACTGACCGAGCATGGCCGCCGAGGCAACTCTGCGAAGCTCTTCTGCAGTCGAGCTTGCCCGCCTCTTGTTACGCCTGAGGAGAAGCGTCGAAAGAGGGTCTAAACATGAGTGTCGACTTCAGAGGTTGATGACACCTTGAGTGGGTTTACTAGAGTCCAGTTTATGATAAGTGATTAAGTGCGGCCGTGAACGCAATTTTGCGAGCTCTTCTTGAAGTCGAGCTTGCCCGCCTCTTGTTCTGCCTGAGAACAGCGTCCGAACTACGTTGTCTGAAAATTGGCATCGACTGAAAGAGCTCGATGATACCTCAAGCGAGTTCACTCGAGTCTGATCCAAACAGGCCCCAAAAACTAACCGAGAACGGCCGCCCGGAGAAACTCTACAAGGCTTTTTCGAGAGTGCCCGCCTCTTTTCAGCAAGACAAAAAGCGTCCAACAATCTGCTTTCTGGAAAACACCATCCACTCAAGGGCTCGGAACTCAAGAGTTGTCGCAATGCAAGTCCGACCACCCGCATGTGAGATTCCACTAGTCCTGTCAATCAGAATGTTGTTGACCTGACACTTTCTAAGTGGCAATTTTCAACTTCTGGCCTAGACGTCGAAGGACTGGGGAGACCTTCTGTCCACGGTACTTGTACTTGCTTAACTCAAGTGCCCATTCCCCACTCTAACATTCACTCTCAATAACTTTAAGGACTGCAGTCGCTCCTGAGTTTTTATAAACGAACGGCAGGTGCTGAACAGAGCTTCTACTAAACACGAAGCAATTATAAAGACAAGCTCACCTTTCCCGCCCCCAGGTCAAAAATGTTCCCCGCAAACACGCCTTTGACGACCGTTTCGAACCGGGCTCCCTTGTCCTCCGTCCCGTCAATATCCTTGAGCAACTCGGGTAGCAGAGCAAGAGCTGTCTCGTTCTCGTCCGCCTGAAACCAAGAAACGAGTCCCGCTCTAGTTCCCAATTGATCTCTTTTCTAAAAGGACGATGAGAGTCGCCGTTCTCTCAAACGAGAGGCAAGTAGCTGCTAACATGAAACGTTTCTTCTGATTCAAAAGGGTGAGATTGCTGGTGGCAGGAGTTCGACGCTCAACATGCCAGGGCCCCCATCAGGCTGTTTCTTTCAAAACGAGGTTGGCGCCGTCGACTCTTGAGGCATTTTATACTGGAAATGCAGCTGAACCACAACGAGAAACCTAAGTTCCACTCTCAGTAAAGGGTGCCTTTGGTACAACGTTTGAAGGCAGCGAGCGAAGGAAAGAACGACATCACTAAGAAAAACGGTGAAAGTCATGGATTCAGCAAATTAAGGTATGAAACCAAGAATTGGTGAAAAAAAAGAACGCCTAAAGATTCTCAGCGGAGGGTGGCTTCTTGGTGCAACATTTGATTGCAGCGAGCGAGAGAAGGAAAGAACGACATCATTAGGAAGAAGGGGAAAGTCATGGAACTAAGGTATGAAACCAAGAAATTGGTAAAAAAGAAAGAACGCCTGAAAACGAGAGCACAATCGAGCCCGACTGAGCCAAACATCTTGGCTGGGACTCGGGCTAGCGCATACCTTGACTTTCTTGAAGATGTCCTCAAACCCAACCTCACGCAACACTTGCTCGCGGAGCCGCACAAGAAGCTGCAAAGGAAGAAATAATGTTACTGCAACTTTCAGTAACATAGTAGTCAGTTCTTTGGGGTCTGCTTGGTGTGATCGGCGCTTTTAGAGAAGGAGACGAAGGTACAGAGGAAAACGGAGATGCGGACTTCAATTGCAAGGCAAAACCAAACACGAATTTGTCGAAGTCGAGTGCCGACTCAATCAAGGGGTGAGCTCTCCATACGCTTGTTATAAAAGAATGACCTTGCGATACTCTCGTTTTCATCAGATTTGCGTTCCTTCCAATAGGAGGCGTGTCATCTTCTGGCACTGGACTGACTGCCAGACTTGCAACAGCACCCGTGAAAAGGAGCACAAGAAAGGGGCCAGTGTTTGTGATATGTACTGTCAGCCACCGGGTTCAATCTGCAGAAGGTCTGGCGACTTACAACGCAATCTGGAGGTCCGCCGTGGCTCTCAGGGTCCTTCTCCAGATCGTCTAGAATCTCTCCAAACCTGCAAGAACAAAAAGATTCCCACTTTCCTGATCAGCAGCCATAGAACCAAGCATATGGTAGGAAAGAGACATGCGATTCGCAGGACTGTAGACTGAAGCAATCCCAACAGCAGTCGGCCAGAAAAGGGACCCATGTCTGCAATAACAACGGAACTCTATGCTGTGGTTGATAGGAAAGGGGCCTTGCACCATGTCACAAAGCTCGCCTTCAGCCCCAACATAGTCCCGTCTTCTGTCCAAATGTTCATTAGGGAGACTTGAGCAAGTTGTGAATTCAGTTGGTTACAGTTGTTCAAATTATATCCTACCCAGAAACCCCTGACAAGAAATCTTGTATCAAAGATTCCCTCATGCATCCGGGAGGCCTTACACCCAGACTCTGGAGAATAATGCGGGCTTCCTGATCAGACGGGATCTGGTTGCTCACCGCAAAGCAAACTTTGTCGCCTTGACGTCGGCGTCCTTCACAGAGGTGTCAGCGGCTGCCCGAGCCCTGGGGGTGAAAGTGCATCAGGGGTATGATTGATGCAACAGGGAGTCAGATCGGTTTAGCAAACGTTTCGGCAAGAGTGATGACAGCCAGGGGAACATCCAATTGTGTTACAACCACCATCGGGCGCCTCTTTCAAGTTTGGTGCTGTGGCAAAAGGCCAAACATAGTCCCTAGAATCTAGCGGTCTTTCTCAAATCCAGCCCCAGGTCTCATGCCCTGAGCTGAGGTGCAGGGGCAAATTGTGTACGGCGGTCAATGTGTGTCAAGATACTTCTTATTTCTGTGCATTCCAAGTCAAACCGACTCAACATTCTGATGACAACGCCTCCGAGTTCTCCATCTTTACTCCTGAGCAAGGAAATTGTCCTGAAAGGAGGCTTGCCACAACAGGGTGTGAGCGAATGTGGGCGACTGGGCCCTTGCCATTGACGACTTTGTGGGGCAGACATTCTTAAGAAGCGAAGCACTCTCCAAATTATCAATTCACCAACCAGAGCTTTCGGCAAATCTTTTGGAACCATGAATCCTCACTTGAACGATGGTATGCTCCTGCGGAAGACATCCAACCACACTTTCGACACCCCTTCCCTCTCATAGTTGATTGTGCAAGGTGTGTAGCTGTCAGGATCTTTGAGCAAGGGAAATGAAATGACTCGAGATGCAGTCTCCATTCCTGTTTCTTCTTCGTGCGCCAATTGCAGCTTTGGAAGTCTGATGGAGAGCTGAGCGTCTGGACAGAAGTGCAGCTGAGCCGAGCAAAATATCGATATTTACAGTAGCGGCTGCTCATATTCACTCGTAATATCTCATAATTGGAGTTACCCGGATCCCAGGAAGCTTCCACCCAAGGCTACGGTACTATGGACTACCCGGTACATTGCGACTGTATCGTTGCCGGTACTGATCCTCCGGGGTAATTTGTCTGAATACGCTCACGAATCACGATCATGTTGCAACTTATATAGGGTTCGAAACGTTCAGGACCAGATTACGTGACCATAGGATCTGAGTGACTGCAGAGAGCAAAGCACTGAACTTGTAAGATAGAGCAGAGTTAGGCGCCACTATTTGAAAGCTGTTCAAAGGTTCTCCATTCTGTAGCCTCAACAAAAGTGCTCACATTTCGTCAACCTTGAGACCTGTTAGTACTCTGCGAGAGACACACGAGCAATGGCGGCAGCCGCAGTTGCTTCCGGCGTCAGGATTCAGTGCCGGTTGCTTCACAATGCAGGTTGCGATCAGTCGCAGAGTGCAGCACGCAACCAGCATGTCTTGCCGGCACGACCTGTGCACTTAGGGTCTGGGGTAAAGGGCCGACGCTCCCAGGTAGTTTGTATGGCCGGGCATGGGCATGGGCATGAGGAGAAGCCAAAAGAGCCCGAGTTCAAGCCAAAAGGCTGGTATGAGAAAGACATTCCGGAGTACCGGGCCAACTATTCCACAGCCGGAGAGGGGGAGGTCAGCTCTTCTTTCCTTCGTGCTCGTATGTACCTGACGCTCCATTCGGTGCTCAAGCATCAGAAAATGGCAGCCTTGGTTTGTTGAGTTTGATTTATCAAAGAATAGCAAAGAGATCAGGCTTCTGAGGGCAGTCTCGTGCTGCCTTTCTATCGTGGTTTGATCCAGAGGACCATGACGCGCCTGCAGCATTGCACCCCTTCTGCTTGCTAAAACTTTGCAGTGCTCTGATCGTGGAATTGCGGTGTCGATTTCACAAAGTGCTGTACCTTGCAACAGGACCCCTAAGTCTGTCAGAAGCGTCATTTGACAAGCAGAATGCATATTTTCAACCTGTCCTGGTTTCAGCTGAATTGTGTCCACTTTTAGCAAGTCACAAGGCGCTTGTGACGAGCTTATACTAGGTCCCGACATTCTTGCTAATGAGCTCGCTGTGCTCAATTTGACCCTTAAATTTAGACAATGATAAATCCCTCGTTGTGCAGCCATTCGAATTTGGGATTGAAGACGGGCACCACACATGGCACGAGGGCGATGATGGTGCGTCACCTCTCCCCAAGAATCTTGAATCCTTTTGGACTCCAATGGTTGCTGAGCTAACGTGGTGTTGTGCAAGAATATGGTCACCTCTTGATGATGATTCAGATATGTGCTGATTTGAAGGAAATTGCCTGAAAGCATTTTGGAAATAGGTTTCGCATCTTATGTTGGAGCGTTCTGGCAGGACCAAAATTACTTTGAGAGGGTGCATCACCTAGCTTATCATTTCCTTAGGCTCCCGATTCCTGCGTATGCCTTAGAGGCTAGCATGACCAAGTCTGCATGTGCCAGGTCTGTCTCCTCGTATTCTCAAAACGATCACAGATGCCAGATGACCTTCCATTTTGATCGACTTGGGCCAGCATGACATATGCTGCATATGGCCGGGCCTGTCTCGTCCAAGTTTCAATCGCAAATGCTAGGTGCACTTTCCATTTTGACTGATGAGGGCTTTCAAGTGCAGGAGAGTTCATGGATGAGGTGAAGAAGGCCATGGATGACTCAGGTGCCCCGACTGGCATCCCAGGTGAGCATTATGTCCAATTTTGCTGATGGCGATTGCTTTTGGACCTGGAAGCCACCAAAGCTTTGATGAGCAAGCCGGGCAACGCTGTGAGGCACCTGGTTGTGGCTGTAGCGACTGGTGCAGTCATTCCAGCGCACTGTGTCTCTGGTCCGTGGCTGCATATCCAGGCGGCAAATCGTCATGTGAATAACCACGTTTGACTGATGGCATCGAGGGTCTTGCTTAGCGGTTAGTTGGGATGGATCACCGCCTGTTCAGGTGCATCGTTGTGCCCAGTCATTGGCAGGATTGCTTCGATCCGGAGCAGTGCGGGTGTCGAGGAAAGTTCTTGCAAGTGGAAGGACCTCATCTTGCATACGTGATTTAAACCGCGTCCTATCTACTCCGAACAGCACAAATCCCATGCTTGCGGCAGCATCTCACCCTCTTCTTGTCTGTGCAGCATTCCTGGCGCTTTCCTTCTTGCCGGGTCTTTTCACCATGATCTTTTTGGGGATTGATGTAAGCTTCAAGCTATCCTCAAGGAAATCCTGAACAGACTTTCCTTGAAAGAGCCATTTGTGAACTCGACAGCTCTTCTCAACTTTCGGTGAATCGCTGCACATCATCTGAATCTGAACTGTTGTTTCCTTACCAACGCCCGAACATCATCTGCGATCAGACGGATGAGTCGCTAGCAGCATTAGAGATGTATTTGGCTCTTCTTCAAGCCAGGATGGTTGTGGGTAACAGAAGTTTTGGAGGCCCTGCTGACATAACCCTCGTGTCTCTTTTTTCAGGATACATATTGGTTGATGTTCACGGGCGTGTGGACAGTTGCGTATGCTGCCTTCCAGATGGCCAAGCCTGCTACGGAGTTGAATTTCGAGCCTACTAGATACGCTAGGGTTTACGATGCGCCAAAGGCCGAGCCCTGGAGCGAGGAGCGGCTGGATCGGATCTAGGTGAATGCATGCTGTAGTTGAATATAAGGTGGTGATGATCAAGTTGAAGTGGGCTGAAGTTGGGTCAAGCCTAGGTTCCTCATAAATTTAGCGTTGTACTGTTGAGGTTGTGATACACAGTCGTATTGAGAACCTCTACACAAATGTTTAGACTCCTCAACAAGCATGACCGTCGGGAGGGACAGGTCCTTGCAATTGTCCTTCAAATTCAGCTGCTGAGCACACGCAGGTAAACATTCAACCCTATACTTAACGAAGTAGACTCATCAGATACATCAACTGCTTGTCCATTGTCAAGCCATCACTGCTGCATAGAGCGCCTATATTGGGTATATTTCGATTCCTGTCCTGCCACCCTGGTTGCCATTGACGCGTATATGCCTGGACTTTTGACAAAACATCTGGAAAACGTGAAAGTGTTGAACTTGTACATTTTGCCGCAATTGACATGTACTGAATCTAGTATATACTGAGATCGCACATGTTGTATCGTTACGCGACGGTCAAGTCTGGTCCAATATATGTATACGGTATATAGTAAATCGGCCACTGATGCGAAATTACGCTGGAAGCGTGCCTATATCAGTATATATGTACGAATTATCTGTATGCCTCACGAAAACCGTCGCATGGACCGTCGTGACCGCGTCCAGCTAGTCATGCATGGCTAAAGCTATTCGTGGGTGACCCATGTGCTCGGGTCCAGTGCAGTACAAACAGGAGTTATCAACGAACACGTTTTCTAATCAACATGTGTTGATGACCACCCAAATAGAGTACTGTAGTCCAAGATACTGCTGGCACGGGTCTATGTCACCATTCATCTTATTTGTCATTCATGTCGCCATGCAGAACAAATTACACACGCTCAAAAGGTCAGGCCGTTAAGGTCACATCACTTTACAATAGCACATATGTGAGACAATCAACAGGGTCAGGGGGCCTTCACATGGCATACGTTCCCACTGCATGAATTGCTTTTCAGAATCTTGATCTTGCGCCAAACAAGAGGAAGCATCCAATCTATACCTTTAACATGGCGACTGTCAAGTACTCTACCGCCGTCTCCTGCAACACGGAGAGCATGCTTATTTTTCGACAATTGTAATAAGGGCTTCGCAACTTGCATCCCTCCCGATCTCGATGGCAACCTACTACATGCAAGGGCTTGACTTCAGCACAATATTGGTGCTCATCGTCAGTCACCAGAGGATAGTCAGAACACCAGGCCAAACACTAGAGCACCAGTGCTGGCAGAGATCTCGTCAGGGATCGAGCGTGCTTGGTCGGCCAGCAAACTTTTCTTGAACGGAAACTAGATAGAAGATCAACATATATGTCCGAGCGGCTTACCGTGACCTCTCCTCTGGCGACTCCCGGCGGTCATTCTTTGAAGGGGAGTGTCGCCTGTGGAGAAAGTTGCATGCGTCAGGAAGCGATGCGCAATCATTGCTTTGCTTTTAAGTTACGCCGGATGCGCTTGCTCCTACAGATCCACAGCATAGACCATTGCTCCGCAACAGAGCATTTTTAAGCAATCAGGCTATGTTCTCAAGCGAACACGGCCGCGTTCTCACTTTAAAACCTGCTGAAGTATACAAGTACGAAGTCCTCGTCGACGCTGTAACATGACTTGCATGACTGGGAGGAGGGCTTGAAAGCTTGTATCGAAGCGCAGGATGTCACAACAGACCGTCTTGAAAACCTGCTGCGCATTTAAGGAGTGTCACTTCTGGACACTCGATTGCCATGCTCCAAAGAATCGGGAACATGCAAACAACAGAAACTTACTCCAGACAAAGAAGCACCGTTCAAAAGCAAGGCACAGCAGAAAGAAGAGGATTCGGGGCGGGATACATACCTGGATTTCCTGTCCCTAGATTTTGACCTTTCTCTGACGGGTGAGCGTGACCTTTCAGATCTGGGAGGGGAGGGACTACGGCGCCTGCTCGCCTTTGCTTCGGGACTGGCAACCGACACGGCCACACAACATCAGCAGCTGCAGCACGCTTACTCGTGCGACTGACGTCAGCCTGACGTGACTTTCTCGACAGCACCATTTCGATGAGAGCTCCCTTTGAGACGGGAGTTCGCTCCAAGGGATGGGAAACAAAGGAGTAGTTGGACTTTTTCTTGCTTTTTGCGCATATTTACTTGCTCTACAGCAGCAATGCAGACCAGATAAGTAAAGTCCGCGGGGGCGAACGCGTCTTGGATCCGGTGACGAAAGCAGGCTTTTGGAGCAGCCTATTTTCGCTCACAAGGAGGCCGGTCAGCATTGCCCCAGTTGAGACTTTCCGAACCCCGATCGTGCGCTTACCTGAGCACCTGGGACTGTGGAGGTTTATGAAAATGCAGAAATGCAGAGCGAAAACAGAACAAAGATTCCCTCTTGCTTGTGCCTTCTTTCCTTTTGCAAGTACTTCAGACGAGTCAATAGAGGGCCTCTACTGCAGACGCTACCGCTTTCAATAATGTATTATTACATGATCACTGCTTGTTTCGACCATTGAGTAGGCAACGGCCCCCAAGAGAAATCAAGTACGTTGAGCAGCTTTTTGACACCTTCGGAACATAGTCGTGAACCCCCGTCTGCTGAAAACGGTCTGAACCTGTGTCGAGTCTGCTTAACCAACCTCCTCGCCGGCAACACTTTATTTGCTAACCAGTGACGGTGTATGTGGGCAAGCGGCACGTGGAGCGCGGAAACAAGAAATGGATGGCCCCAAGAGGCAGGGATCCGAAGCTGCGGAACAAAGTAAAGCCACAGCAATACCGCATGCTCTCAGCGCACTTCCGCTTCATATCGTGAAAGGCTTACTTCCGCCAAGTAGGGCTAAAATCTATTATTAGGACCTTCGAAGCATCCGACACCCACCGGTAACCGCAAAAGGTCCACCTTCTTTCCAACCTCCAGGTTTGTGCTGTCCGACCTCTATTTTACGTTCCACCCGTACTGGAACAGGGCAGCCGTTTACAGCCTGCACAACCTCACCTTCGCTCGCGCTTCTTGCCGTCGTCCTCCCGCCGGCTCGACCGCCCCTCTTCGCGCTCCCGCCGATGCTCGCGCCGCCGCTCCTCGCCGCCGCGCTTCTCCTCATCATCCTTCCGCTCGTCCCTCCTTCTCTCGCTTCGCCCCTCCCGATCTCTGTCGCTCCTATGCCTTTCCTTGTCTCTTTCCCCATGTTCTCTTTCTTTGCCGCTCCTTCGTTCGCTCCGCTCCCCGTCCCTCTCCCCACGGTCCTTCTCCCTCCCGCCGCGCTCCCCCCGCTCTAGTTCTCTCCGCCTCTCCCGTTCCTCGGAGTCTCGGTGGCCTCGCTCTCTCTCCCGCGAGCGGTGCCGCTCTTTCGACCGATTGCTGTCCCGGTCTCTCCGCCTCTCCCGGTCGCTTTCCGAGTGCTTCGACTCGCGTTCTTTGCGGCCGGCCCGTTCGTCGTCCTTGCTCGCTCGACCTTCTCTCTTGCTCTCACTTCTCTTCTTCTCCCCAACTTTCCCCTCTTCTTTCCTATTGCCATCGCTCCTCTTCTTCTCATCATTCATTTCCTCTTCCTTCCTCTCACCGTCGTGATTCTCTAACCCCGTCTCAACCTCCCCAAGCTTATCCACAGCCCCGACGTCCTCGACCTTTTCTTTCACACCGTCCATTCCTTTCGCTTCCGTCTCTTCTTCCCTTCCCAAACCTGATCCCTCCAGATTAGCTTCCGCTTTCTCAGCCGCTTCCTCAGGGTTGGACAAAGCGTTTTGCCCCTCTTCCTCAGAAGCTTTGCCGCCTGACAACTCCCCCGTCTGCCCACCTGTCATTCGCAACCCCTGCGGGGTGCCCTCTCCGACTTCCCCGCTAGTGTCAAGCGGTTTCCCAGTGGCTGCCCCGGCAGGTTTTGACACCGCCGGAATAGCCATCGCCTCACCCAACGCATCCAACTGCGCTTCTGCCTCGTCCACTTTCGCTAAGTCATCCCCCTCTTCCGTCGGAACTTCAACTTCTTCCACCGACGTCCTTATTCCGTCATCCTCCTCGAGACTCTCATCTCCGATCTCCTTCTCTCGCAGCTCCTCTTCCCCCTCAACACCGCTTTCCATTGCCTGCGCTTGGGCGGCTTTCTCTCTCCTGGCCGCCTCTCTCGCGAGCGTCCGCTCCTCTTTCCGCTTCCGCCGCTCCTCTTCTTCATCGGTGTCGTACGCCAAACCGAGCGGGTTTTCCCCCTCGTCGGAATCGCTGTCGTCATCGCTGCCAAGCGTTTCCGGGGCCTTGGGCACCGGAGGTGGCTCGATTGCAGCCCCTTTCGGAGGAGCCGCTCGAGCGGCCGCGGGCGCTTTCTCCCGCGTGAGCGGCTCCTCGTCGTCATCATCTGCAGGAATGCGGGGTACGATACTGTTAGAGGGCGTCACAGGGCTAAATGCTCAACACATCGGTGACTATGGCAGAGTCGGGTTTGGCTTTAACCTCAACGCTGAAGCAGAAGACGAGTTCTTTGACGTATTTCTATGCCTTATTAGGAGGATTACATCAACTTATGCTGCAAGGAAACCCATATATTGTATGATCAAGCCGGCGAACGCATCCCTACATTGCCATATAAACGTTTCCATCCAACTCTCTACCACATACAGGACGCGACTTGCCCCACAACGCCCTCACTTGATAACGTGAGGACCCAAAGTTGCCTTCACTTTACAGCGCAAAGTCCCAATTCTGTCAACACCAGGCAAGCCCTTTTGAGCATGAACACAACACCGGCCCCAGCCAGCCCGTTTGCTTACCTTCGGCGTCGGCCCCGTCCTCTGCCACAACCTGCGTGACAATCTCCACAAGCATTTCGTCGGTTACCTTCAGCAGCACCTCCGTCAGCACGCGCCGGATCTCCGCGTTCACTGCGGCCTTGCGCGCCGCCTCCGCGTCCTGCACGGAAGGCTTAAACGTCTTTTAGCACACTATCCGAAGCCCGAAAGCGCGAACATCCAAAGGTAGTGATGAGCGCCTCGGCGTCCTGCACAGAAGCCTGGTGAATCTAATCGATTTCCAATCATGGGCTGGTCTGAGGCCGAGATATTCAGTCTAAACGATACGCATCGGACTCATCAGGCAGATCCTCTGAGTAAGCAAAAGAATCCTTTCGAAGGGTGGGCGGTTGAGTGCTCGGCTCGTTGAAACCCCCAGAAAGAAGACGCTGAGGGACTTAAAAGTCTGTACATGAATTGTCACCCTTGAACGCCACACTCACTAACTGGTATTGCGGACCAGTCACTTAAAGCAGAGGCTGAGGGCACTCACCTCGTCGTCCGAAGCCTCGCTATCGGACGGCGTCGGGCTGCGGCGTCCGTCGATGCGCGGCCCCGACACTTTCTGCTGCCCTGCCTTCGCTCCGTCTTCCGCCTCTGCTGCAGCCTTGGCCTGCTTCTTGCGGAGCTCTTCAAGGAGCCAGGACGGAACGGCGGCCTGAAGAAACCAAAGACGATCTTAGAAGCGCAGAGACAGGCTTCTGGAACATGTCTGAGCGACTGGAGGGGCCTTCTGAGCGATCGAAAGTGGGTTCCAACGGAAGGGAAAATTGCGGGTTGCTTTTTGCGGACAAGATCAAGAAGGAACCGCGGCCCGTAGAGAACAAAGACATTCTTAAAAGCGCAGTGACGGGCTTTTAGTCCCGTTTTGGTTAGGAGAGCGGAGGGGCCTTCTGAGCGAAAGTAGGTTCAAAGGAACGGAGACTTGCGAGCTACATTCTTGCGGAGCTCTTCCAGGAGCCAGGAAGGAACGGCGGCCTGCAGAGACCGAAACCAGTCTCAGAAGCGGAAGTGCGTAATTGATGTTTATGCTTGGAGACGATGGAGTCGTCTTATAAGGAATTGAAACAAGTTTCAGAAAAAGACTCTTTGAACTGCTTCTTGTGGAGCTCTCCTAGGAGCCAAGACGGAACCGCGGCCTGTAAACCCAAATCAGTCTCAGAAGGCGGAGAGGCACAAGCAATACTATGCTTGGAGAGACCGGAGTGGCCCTCTAAGCAGCGAAAGAAGGTTCAGGGCAAAAGAGTGTCACAGGCTGCTTCCTACGCAGCTCTTGTAAGAGCCGCGAATGAACGGCGGACTGTGGAAAACAAAAAGGCAGTTTTAAGAAGTCGCACAAGTTTGACCAGCTATCATAGGAGAGAGCGGAGTGATCCGCTTAGGGGCTAAGAGAAGTTTCGAAGGGCGAGATGATGGTGAGCTGCTTCTCTCGGAGCTCGAGCAGCCAGAACGGGACCGCGGTCAGTCACACACAAAATCAACGGTCGCGCACCCTTTTTTCGAGTCAGAACTGCGACGGGAGGGACTGCAAGCAAGGCCAGAAGTACTGTTCCCGGCCCAAAAGTAGAAACTTGCAGATCTGCCTGTAGAACCAGCGATGCAAGGGTCGCAAACAGGAGCGCCAGGGAAGCGATGGGGCACTACACAGAAGGTGCGAACATACTTTCCGACAACTAAGAATACACGTGAAGTCTGCGAATGTTACCTTCTTGGGCTTGCCGGCTCCAGGGCTACCTGCCCCCCCAGCGTCGTCCATTTGCATCAGGGGAGGCTGCATGAAGGGCAGGCCGGGCCCAGGGGGGTACCCCATGTTTCCATACGGGGGGGCTCCCATGGCAGGTCCAAAGCCGGGCCCTCCAGGGAAGCCACCGGTTTGGATCTGCGGGATCGCGGCAGCAGATTGAGTCAGGGGCGCATCTTGGAGTGGAGCTTTGCGAGATTTGAAGAGAGACACCAAACCCAACCACCGAGTTTCTCATCGCCCCGTAAGACTTTCATGAACGGGTGCAACCCTTCTTCTCCATAGTAGCGCAGGGTAACGCTGCAACTTAGTTGGGTGGCAACAAACAACGGAGCGGCACCGATACAAGTGACGCAAACAAACGAACATATAGACCGTTGTAGAAGATAAACATCGGGCATGATCTTGAGATCAGTGCCTTGTCAAGATGCTCTCTGCATAAGCAGCCTTTGCAGGTTCGCGGAAACAGGTTGATCGAGGTAGCTTGCCTTACAATTGACTCGGTTTCGGGAGTAGCATACTTTCAGAAGGATTCAAAAGACAGCCAACAAGTGCTTGTGCAATTTCGGGGTTTCTTCAACCAAGCAGCAAGTGTCAAAAAGTTGAAATGAAGGGACATACCTGCCCAGCAAACGAAGGCACGTTGGACACTTGGCCAAACGGCAGACCCTGGTTATTATAACCCTCCATCCTGTAACCCTGCAAGCCTCCACCCTGAAAGCCCTGCACCTGCCCCATCCCAGCATTATTGGGGAACTGCTGCTGAGGGAAACCCTGTTGATAACCCTGCTGATAGCCAAACTCGGTTTGGGGCTGAGTCCCAAACCCTTGCCCCTGATTGACGAAACCCTGATTAGCAAAGTCCTGCCCCAAGTTCAGTTGACCCTCCCCTTGAATGGGGAAACCTTGGCCCTGGTTTGCTAAATCCTGGGTCTGGTTAGGGAACCCCTGGCTCTGATTAGGAAACCCTTGACTCTGACTAGGGAGACCCTGGCTCTGGTTAACAAAACCCTGGCTTTGATTTAGTCCCTGGCTGACCGAACCCGGCCCTTGGTTCATTAGACCCTGGCCCTGGTTAGCCATAACTTGGCCCTGAGGACCCAGGCCTTGGCTCTGGAAAGGGAAGGTTTGCCCCTGCTTAACAACACCCTGCCCCTGACCCGTAAAGTCTTGACCCTGGTAAGGGAAACCCTCTGCGCCCCCTTGGGCACTCCCCCAGAACTGGGCTTGGTTGCCTGGCTGCTGCTGCTGCCCCTGGTACCAGTCATACTGCTGCTGGGGGGGAAACTGGTTTGTTTCTGGGTTAGCGAGATGGTTTGAACCACCGCCGCCGCCATCGCCGCCTTCGATCGCCATATCTTCATCCGCAATCTGTGGGGGAAAAATTGAAGTCAGTCAGATCACCATTCAATGCACTATTACACTTGTTCATTTTGACCCTTTTGGTCAACGCTACAACACTCCCGCTGGACCATGGGGAACTCCTCATGTTCAAACCACTTGCAAAGGTTTATGACCGGACTTTCTTTTACGCAGCACCCATTGTATCGGACCTGTCGCCACTGCACACATAAATCGTATTTTCCATTATCACCATGCTCAAGGATGGAGCGCTTCATCAAGCGACCCAAAAATCAGGCAGATCAAGGACCAATAAGAAAGAGTCTCTCTCCATAATGAGTCGGGTCATAGTACCATTGACAGCCGTATCAAGGAATGCAACTGCACCAGTGATACACATTTCTCCCCATTTTGACGATCATTCAGCAAAACACTTTCAGGCCCTTGCAGGGACTCTGATGTAAATGGTCAGACGACTCCCTTAATATGAAAACCGTTCCTCCAGCCTTTGGAGACTTTCTCTCACCGCATTCCCCTCCCCTTTCTCCGCTCGTTCTTGCTCCTGTCGCCTCTGTGCCTCCTCCGCCCGCGCGCGCTCCGCCGCCTCCGCCGCTGCCTTCTGCTCCATCCACAGCCTGGCCTTGATCTGCCATTCGGTTTCCACGCTGACTGGCTGCTGACCTGAGCGTTAAACATCCACAAGAAAGTTGCTGGATGGGTTACCAAATTGTCCCCTTCACGCTGACTGGCTGCTGACCAAAAAGGACGCCGTGTGAAAGAATGTATGCTGGCCATTCTGATCAAACATCCCTCTTACAATGAGTGAAAGCTGACCTGAGCCAAAACGTCCAAAAGAAGAGTGCTAGCTGGGTTACCAAACTGTCCCCCTTCACACTGATATGGCTGCTGATCTAAGAGGACGCTGTAAAACGTTGCACAACATTGCCCCTTCATGCTGACTGGCTGAGGAGACACTGTCCAGAAGTCAGTCCAATGGCTGCGTCTCTTAAGCATCTCGTGAAGCAAGCAATTCCTTCACACTGAAACCTTGCTGAAAATTACCATAAGACTTGCAACTACATGGGGATTGAGCCTTTTGCTCCGGGAGAGCTGACAGGGCAATTCTGGAGGGTCGGTAGGTTGCACCAATCGTGTTTGGGACACCATAACTTCACCAACTTTATGACGGCCTTGCGGCTTCAATGATTGCCAGACGACATGGCCATCTCCATAAGATGCAGTTTGGTGATCGGCTCAAGTATTGCAGGAGTTACCTTGCACAGCTCCATACATGCCTTGCTCTTGACTGTACGCTCCGGCGCCGGCCCACTGCTGTTGCTGCAAAGAAAGTTACGTCAGTGGCTCGAAACAGAGTCTCCCAATGGAACAATTTCGAATCTTATCAAGAGATTTTTTCAATCGGTGCCAGCTCCACGCGTCCTGACGATGGGGCGCGCAACCAACGGGTGAACGTATTCTCGTAATGGAGACCGTCAAGAAGCATATCATAGGGTGGGCGAAAAGAAGACGGCTGAAAAAATCCACTTCACACATGTCTCTTTTTGTAGCATAATGGTACTCGGCACGTAGGACCAGAACACCGCATCATCCACCATCTTCAAGAAGGAGATCTGAACATGCCGCGCCACACGTAGGACAAGACAACGAGCGAACTGCTTTGGGTTTATTTAAACAATCCAGACAGCGGCGTAGATGCCAATGAATGCCATCATACAAAGTTGCTCAGTTTATGCGGGGAGCTTTCCACACGGTTCAACCATCTTGTTACCTGACTTCCGGCCCCGTATGCCCAGCCCCCCGGTGCCTGTCCTGGGTAAGTCTGTGCATGGTATCCTCCGGGTAGAGAATGCGCTGACTGTGGATTGCCCGGTTGACCACCTGCCGTACTGCTTGGAAATGGTGGCATCGATGCCTGACCTGGATGTTCAGCCATGTTTGCAGGAAGTAATATCCTTACCTAGCAAAAAGAGCAGAATGAGAGACGAGTATTTGGTAACTCAGCAGATTGCATAGGTTTGTTGAATCCGAGCGGAAAAGGCGGCCACATCTTCTCCTTGTTCAACCCATTGTGCCCTGCCCTACTGTCAACCTTCGTGCATTTGACGTTAAGTCCACATTAATGAAATTGACGGGGCATCTGCAGATTAATGCAGCACCATACTGTCATAGAGACCTGCGAGTACCAAGTAAGCTCACCCACAATTTCAACGCGCTTCAAAATCTTAGAAGATTGAATTCATCGCAACTTTCTTTGCAAAAATACGCACTTGTTTTAATTGTTCACACCTTATAAAAGACGTCCGCACCTTCTAATCATGACCCAACTTGCTACAGAAGATGCCAAACATGCTGGACCGGAGAGGCCGGAAATAACTTGATGTTGCGAGCCCCTGAGGCCTTCTCCTGACGCAGAAGATTCCGCCCTGTCACTGATCCCAAAGTTCCAAACCGAAGAAGCACTGGAATTTTGCAATAACCAAACAGAGAGTCCCCAGGTTACACCGACTCGCAAGCCTCACCTGCTAGAACGAACTGCTAGAACAATCGCTTGCAGAGTCAGCTTCAAGAACTCTCAAGGCGGTGCCGCCATTCTTCATCTTGAATTTAGCATTTGCTTGATTGCTTTGCTGTGGCCAGGGGCTGGGAACTAGGCACGAAGACAAAGCCAAAGTACACCAGTAACTATCGGTCGATTGCCGGTAATGGTAACCAACATTGAACATTAGTAGGGCCGCGGCCCGCGACAGCGGCCGCCGGGCGGACACGTGTTCACAGTGACCGGACCGGAACTTACTACCCAATAATGCATGCTCACTGCACAACCGGCCCGGCCCTCCCGAGTCCCCGGTCGGGATGAGCGCACAGACAAATCTCCGAGACTCCGACCATTGCCCCGCCGAGGCCCCGCCCTGGATTCACCAAGGTATTGAGATCCTAGGCACAAGCTGAGGCAATGCCCTGACCGCCACATCTGCGCCATAGCGCCACATCTGTGCCTAAGCCACGTGGGCCCACGACATCCAGCTTTTCGGAGTCAGCAGGCCGGTGATGAGGCAAGCCCGCCCGGGCACTGAGCTGCCTAGTCAATTACCCCATTAGCGGTGGTCAGAGCGGTGATCTAGCGCGTAGGAAAAGCTCCTGACTTTGGTTTCAAGAGCTTCACAGGCACTTCACAGGCAGAAGTGGATGCAAAGGACGTAACTAGGCGATAAGGCTCCCTCGTGAGCTGGCGGGCGGTGATCACCAATGCAGACGTCTTTGACCCTCCTTGTCGCAGTCAGTGTAGTACTGGCCGTGTACGTCCAGCTACTTAGGGACGAGACATTCCAGAAGCGTCTCACACGGCATCATAATCAAACTCCGACCTGTCGCACGATATACTCGTCATGGATCATCCTATATATATCCTGGATACAGTAAGCACTACAGTCTCAAACAAAATAGCGAAAGCGCAGTCTCAACTTACACTAGCGTTCTTTCCTGGATTTGTCAGCCATACGGCTTACGAAATGCTTGCACAAAGCAAGTCAAATCTGTCCGATACTATTCTACAATGGAAACTGCAGCCCATTGCTTACAGGTCATCTCCCTATCATAATCGACACGTCTACTCTTCGAAGCCTGCTGAAGACGGAACTCTTGCATACTTAGCAACGAGTGTCAAACTCAAAGTGTTCGCATGTCAAAGCCCTTCCTTCCTGTTTTTTAAGAATCGCCCCCAGTCTGTCGGCCGGCAAGTCCCAGGTTTGTTCGCCCCTGCGCTGCTCACACGTCGTACGTTATGCTGACTTCAAACTTATTGGCGTGGGGGATCCCCCACTCCTCGTGTGACACGTGGGCAAACTTCACCATGGTGCCGTACACTGTTTCCAGCATGAACCGGCGTACCCAGCGGAGAACCACGTTGTCGTCCTCCCCCTTATGGGAGGTCAGCTTCTGGCGACTAAATATGTACAGAACGGTCCCGACGCCCGCGCCCGCGGCCGCGTCCGCGTCGGCGGCCGCGCGCTTGATGTCCGGGTCCAGCGTGCTTAGCTGCGGGCGACACGAAAGAAGGTCAAAATGGGACCGTGTTACTTCGAAAAGATGAAGGCTTGGCGGCTGGAGTGCTTATCAAAGGACGAGGGTTTGAAAAGTCGCCTTGGTAGCAAGATCTTCACCTTCGCCACAGCGGAACGGTCACGAAATAAGGTTCCGACAAAAAGCGGGCACAAATGAGGGCCGTTGAGGAACGCGGGATACGGAGAGAGACGAGTTCAAGGCTTTGAGGCTGGGGAACCTTGAATGTTTAGAAGTGCTGAACTACCTGATTGTGGACTCTTGACAGGCTACTGCTGAATGAGAAATGCTGCAGAACGAAGCGTTCTTGAGGTGGGCGGTATCCGGTATCCATACTTCGAAGTTCAGTCGGACTCTCCGGCTCGAACGATTCAAAGCATGAACAACTCCGCACCCATCACATTCTGAAATCGAGACCAACATAGATTTCAAAGCCAGGATTCCAAGACCCTCGTTTTTAGCTTCGCGAGAGAGTAATTAGTGCGTGCGCCTCACCCTGTCCGTCAGCTTCAACACAAAGGCGCTGCCGTGATTCACCCGGTCCAGGTACCCGTACCGAGCAACGGCCCGGTACATACCGGGGTAGGGCAGTTTCTGCACCAGGATGCGCTCCTCCGGGTCCACCCTTGGGACGGCCACCTGCCAATGAAAAGCTGCCACGTCAGTCTTTCAGAAAGAGGCTATCTTCTTCACAAAAAGTCGGTGATACTGTTGGACGAGTGTCGAGGGGAGGTAGCGTCGAAGAGGGGCCCTCAAAGCCACGGGAGATCATACGGAGTGAATAAGGGCGCATGAATAGAGGACACTGTCTATACCCTAGTTGAGCACTTTATCTTTGAAGCAGCCAAAATGGTGAGGTAAAGGATTCAATGGATTCGTGGCGCCTCGTGCGTTCGTAAAACTTTGAGCGGTCGAAAGTCAAAGACCAGAAAAGTGACCGTCGGTTAAGGTACGGGGCCTTTCAGATTGGGAAAGTATGTGCGACGTTGACAAATAGTGGGATTTTCCAGTCGCTTCATGTCGAGACCAATTCTTGATCTCACGCTGACCTGTGGAAAATCCAAATGTTCGTATGTCTGATGGTGATGTCAGCTCTACAGTCTGCGCATACCTGGCGGACGGTGACCAGGACGACGTGCTGGTGCAGGCAGCTCCAGCGGTCGATCAGCGAGGGCATCAACGGCGGAGCGCCGACGAGCGTTTCCGAATATGTCAGCGCGATCCCGGGCGCGCGCAGGATGGGCAGCCCGGTGCGCGCGTTCGCGAGCGTACCGTCGCGCGGCGCGAGGGCACGTTCCGACGGCGCGTCGGAGGAAGGCGGGGGGCGGTGAACGGTGACGAGGTCCTCGAGGCGGGTCTGAAGGAAAAGGAACGTCAGCGAAAATCCCGAAGAGTGTGACATCATGATCACTTTAAACTTCTCCTACACTGTTTCTTCCTTACGAAAACTCCAGAGGATATTGAATGTCGTAAGATCGGTAGAAGGCTAGGTAGATAGATCTCGGACATTTGACACTCGATTGTAGAGACCTACTGATTGTCAAATCTGCAGGACATGGATCACAAGCGGAGAAGTCAAACATGACAGATGATGAGTGAAGATCACAAAAGGATGCGCTCAATAAGATCGTTCAGAATCTGTGCACTTAAGTTCCCCTTTGGTCAACTTCTTCGATCCAACTCCTGGTTCCATTTTACTCAAATAGATTTCGCCAGATCAACGCTCACCTTGTTCGCAAAGAGGTACGTCAGCTTCTTGCTCGTGCCCCAGTACCATATGAGGCTCAACGCCGATACGACGCCCGCGACGAGGATAGCGTACCAGCCGCCGTCCGGCACCTTCTCGAGGTTCGCAGACAAATAAGTCCCGTCGAAGAAGGCGTAAAAGAGCAGAAACGCGACGGCCGCGACGACGTTGCTCTCCCAGACCATGAGCATGACGATGAAAATAAGGAGGTCGGTGCCGACCATCATGGCGCTTACAGCAACACCTGGAAACGACAGGTTACGGATGAAGGTTAGGGATTGAGAACATCTTCATCTCGCTACAATATCATGGAAGCAGCTTCGAGAGGAGAAGGAGAGCGGCGTTGAGAAGAATGTTTTCTTGAAAGAAAAAGCTTTGAAGTAATAACAATAGCTTAGAACCCAGAAGAACCACTGAAGTTGCAGAAGGAGCCTAAGATGATCGCTCCACATTCCCGATCCTAGCCCATACAAACAAGCCCACAGAAATACGCTGCCGTTCCCAAGCTCGTATATTATAAATCAAGTCACTCATATGTTCAGTGCTAACTCCTAAGAGCCGAGTCAGGACTGCGACTTACCGTACGCCAGTCCGAGCTTGGTGGTGTTCTTAAAGATGACAATGACGATGACGGTTAGGATCATCATAACCCAATTAACCTCCGGGATGTACACCTGGCCGGTAACCTGCAAGAAGAATCGAACGAGGTTCAGAAGAAACTCAATAGTGCGCTGCAAAAACACGTAACGTGTATGTCAGGCCGCCGACTATCCGACGGGTCCTTAAGAAATATCCGAGCTCCAAAACCTTTCGATTCCCCCCAACCCTTTTTTGAAGCCAACAATCGTACCTCGTCGGATGTGTCAAATGAGGACCCTAGCACTGTGCTCCGCTTGAAAGTAGACGATACGTCCCCATGTTACGGCTTAAGATCATGCCCCCAACGTCCAAGTGTGAAAGATCGAGACCTTTTTGAGACCCACCCTGTCCGACGTGTTGAAGACGCGCAGGCGCGGGAAGCAGCCGAGCGCCATGCTCTGTTTGACGATGGAGAAGGCGCCGGAGATCATGGCCTGGCTCGCCACGGTGGCAGCCAGCGTGGCAACAACGAACATGTACCAGAAGAGGCCGTCCCCGCCGGGAATGCTCGCGTAGAAAGTGCTGCCGACTTCGTCGGGGTGCTTGATCAGCCACGCGGCCTGGCCGAAGTAGGTGATAACTAGGGAGGGGTACGCGAGGCCCACGAAGCCGAGCTGCAAAAAAGGGGCTTGGATGTGTTAGAGATCATGGGGGGGTAATACGAAGCGACGAGAGTGGCTGCAGGTGTTCTCTTCTGCTCGACGAATCTCCGGGGAGATATGACAATTCCGAGAAGGAGATAGCATCTTCGCCTGTAAACCTTTGGGAAAGCTGCTCCGAACCCAGCGCTCACAGAAGAAGCAATTAAAACCGGCAGAAGCGAGCGCATGCACGCGCGCTGTTGAGAAACAATCGCCAGGGAGCGCGACAGAAACATAACAAAGAGCGCGCCCGCATCGGACCCCCGCGCCCGCAAGAACTCCCTGCTACAACTCCGAACGAAACCAAGCGCGCACACGCGCGCGCTCACCTGGACGCCCGCGCGCGAGAAGTGGCCGAGGTCCGCGAAGGTCGCCTCCGCGCCGGTGATCGCAAGGAAGACGCCCGCCAGCTGGCGCCAGCCGCGGTGGGCGTCGTCCTTGAAGAAGAAATACGCGTAGTGCGGGCTCAGGCACTTATATATCCCGGGGTAATACGTGGCCGTGTTGTATATAGCTATGACGACGTTGGAGGCGAACCAGATGATGACGACGGGCGCGAACATGAAGCCGACGCGGCCGGTGCCGAAGGGCTGCGCCGCGAAGAGGGCGACCACGATCGCGCACGAGACGCCCACGATGACGCCTGGAAAAGCAAACAGGAGATTAAGAGTTCAGGGCCGAAAGACAAAAAGCGCGATTCCCGCGGTTCGTATTGTGGGATTCTGATTACTAAGAATTTAATTTGCTCGGCCATGATCATTAGCCACACGAGTGACTTTTGACAGAGATACTCTGAAAAGGACGAAAGAAAGACAATCAGAACTGCGCAAACAACGCCCACAATTACGCCCTAAGTCGGAGGTTCACGGGCTGTGCACAAGATTTCAATGGACTGATGTTTTCTTGAAAAGTTGCAACCGCGTTTGCAACTTCCGTCTGAACAGCGCGCGTGTGCGATGCTACAACGGAGAGTTGCTTCTTCCGAGAGGAACTGACGGAAGTCCCTGTCTATCGAGGACGGAAACGATTGATCCAACAAAAAAGCCGTCCTCTCAAGGACAAAGGACGATAGGATACTTGAAAGCATCAAAGGAAGTCATCACTACCGGTGTTTGGCAGAGGTGACGAAGGACGCACGGTGGAAACGGCCAGCAACTCAATGGCTCCGGGAGCCCCAAGAGAAAGACAAAGCTGAAGACACTCCAATTGCAAAATATGTCACAAGCGGAACTCACTGGTACTTGTGGACGGCAGCTTCACTTGGATCCCGTACACCGCGCCCAGCACCGACTGCGCTGGCGTCAGCACGCCGTCACCCAGGACCATGCTGGTCATGACAAGAACTAGGATGAGGAGCGCGTTCCGCGCCCAGGCCTTCCGCTCTAACATGTTCTTGAGGACCCTGGCCGGAGTCTTGCGCGTCAGGAACTGGCGGGAGGAGTGCTTGGAGGTGTAGCGGGAGAGTTGCAGGTCGGCGGCTACCGGGGCGGCGCCCCCCCCGGGGGTGATGTTGGCGTTTCGGCAAAGTAGGGAATACAGAGCGAAGGTGCCGCCTGGAAAATTGGGAAGAGGAACGGGTTTACCTCTGAGTTACTTGATGAGAGGAACACGAAAACTGGGAAATTCCTTCTGCGGAGTTTGAAAAAAGGGGTTCTTTTTCGGGTTACTCGCTGACGGACACTTGGAAGAGGTAAGTTATGAACAGCGAGTGTGGAGGCGGAAATCTCGGAAAATCCTCAGAAGGTAGAAATTCAATCGCACATGAGCACCAGAAAATAGGATGTGTGATTTGAGAAGGCAGCACATAGTTGGTTCAGAAGCACGACGGAGCGTGCTGCGAGCAACAATAGGAAAGAGCGCGCGGCAGTACTTAAAGACTCAAAGCGACTACAGAGGAGTTTCGAAAGCAAAAACACCGCGAACTTAATACGAGGACTGCAATTCCATCATAGCACTGCGGGCTTACCTTCCCCATTGTCGTCAGCAAACATGACGAAGCACATGTACTTGATCAACACGGCCAGAGTGAGCTGTTCAATGCAGGAACAGTGACGTCAGCGGCGCAGACAAATGACGTACGTGATAACGAGGAACAAATTGGAGTCAGCGATACAGAGAAGGGGCGTCCGTGCAGGACTTTTGCTGATCATTTAAGTGGCAACAGAAAAGGAACCTTTATGCAGACGCCTCAGGGCATCAGGAAATCGAAAGTTTTGAGGAATCTCAAGCAGGAGCACAACAATCCTCCATTCTGGTCACTTTATGTAAGCCTTTTAAGGTTGCAGGCTGCAGGTGCTGACTCCAGCCTTAAATCCCCTTCCTATAAGCAGAGCGTTGCAACGAGGATGCGACGCGCCAAAAACGCACGAGTGAGTCGCTAAAGTGCGTGGTCAGACTAGATTGGGGTCCAATAGAGGGTGAAGGAAGTCAAAATGAGGTAATACTTGGTCAAACAAGATCAGGGATGGGTGCTTGACGTCAGCCTCACCGTCCAGAAGATGAGCGATGCGCATCCTAGGATGCGGTCAGTAGATGGAGTGCCGTCTGAAAACGTAGACGAGTAGACGTACAGCGGGGAAGTCCCTGCATTAGAGGATGGAACCAGCTTTAGGATTTGGGTTAGCGGCCGTAGCCGCTGGGTTAAGGGTTGACCGACAGTAGAGGCATACACAAAGCAGAACGGGGTCACGAAGGTCTGGGGACACAGCAGACGTCGGGTGATATCTGGATGCGAGCCACAGGGAATAAGGGCACCAAAGTAGGGCAGGTTTCCATTTGTCTTTTTTTTGCTTCGGATTCCCTCCTATGGGGAGGACATGTAATCGTTTGGTCAGGTGCCCTTCCTCAGTCATGTCAAGGAGAAATCTGTGCGATCGAGGACATGGGACTTAATCGGGGGTCTAACGTATCAGCGCCTTCTGAGCCTAGTATTGGAATCAGCAGAAGCGAAGCAAATGGTCAAAATGAGCAGGCCATCGGTGCATGGGAACGCATTTCTCAAGGCACGGCCCCCATGTGTTTCTTCTAATACATTCATTCCCTGGCTTACCTGCCAGGACAGATCCTGAACTCGCAAAATACTTGTCTGATCAGAATTTTTTTATGAATGAATCTTGTTGTTCTAAAGTGTCTCTCACCCTTTGAAAGGGTGAGACTTTTTGAGACTCGTAAGACTTTTTCTGATATTCAATCCAGTGAAGAGTGATTTGCAGAGTTGATTACTCACCAATATCCCCATAGACCACGCCAGTGGCACGATATGCCAGTCCAATCGTGGCTAGGAGGCCCGCTTTCTGCAGAACAACGATCTCTATCAGTACTTAGAATCTCAGGCAGGACTCACAAATTGATATATCCTCCTGAAATTCCTGACAGGGTCACCCTCTTTACAACTTCTGAAGGCTTCAGTCATCAGAAGCGTTGAAACGTATCCTTTATGCAGGAGAAAGTTTGAATATTGAAAGTCCCGAAGTCAATCTGTTTTTTCCATGAAGCATGAGAAGCAACTCCTTCCAGGTCCCTTGAGGGATTGTCTCCTGAGAATCTTTGGTGAGTTCTCTTGAACATCAAGTAGACCTAGCAATGGAAGAGAGCATCATTGAAGAAGCTGGCAAACATCTCCAATATCACGTATCAGAAGGCTCTTTCTTGTACTCTAAATTGAAATTACTGCAGAGAAAAGAGAAGGAATCAATACAAAAGGGTGAAACACGCCAATAAGAGAAACGAAAATCAGAAAAATGCAAATCAAAGGGGTGTGTAACCTGCAATGACCGATTTCAATGCTTGACTTCATAGACAGTCAAAGAAATGACAGAAAGTTTGAACTATTCAGTCAAGAATGAGGATACTCTTTGATCGCCCAGGACTTACTTGGTTCTCCTTCAATCAAGCAATGCACTCTAGAGATGCTTCAAACGTCTTGTAAAAGACTCCTAAGACGTCTGATTGCTCAAAACCCCTTAATGAGAGACATCCTCTTGATCAATCAGGGGTCCAATCTTTCATCATCAATTTGAAACTTTCTGAAGTCCTGCAACTCTGAACGAACCAGGCACGAAAACTGGATCACTTACCAAGTAATCAAAGGCAGGCTAAGAAGAAAGCCTGGAACTAGAAGAGAAGAAGTAGGAGGCAGAAAAAAATAGAAGCAAACGCCAAGCAGATCTTAGATCATCAGAGCAGTCACCTTGGCCAGATGACGCTTCTTCTGCCCTTCAAGATCAGCGTCCCCAGTCCAGACTGACGCTGTGGGCCCCATCTCAACCTCAGGCCTCGTTCCATTGACTGAAGACCCCTCACTCGCTGGCTTGATCGTCGCCCCTGCTTTGTCCATGGCCATGCACGACTTGGACTTGCTCAAGAGCGATCTCAGGGCAAGAATGGGAAGGGAGGCGCTCTCAGAGCTCTCTGGAGTCATGCCCCAATCATTAGTTCTGTGAAAAGACAATCTGAGAGAGGTAGTATGGGACGTCGGAGAGGCGTTTGGCGGAAGGACTGAGGAGACAGTGAGCGCATCTGAGCACTGGTCTTTGGCAGGCACTTTGAAGATCGCTCAAAGGGGCTTTGAGAAGAGGAGGACGGGTGACGATGAGCGCAATTGGGGTTGAACTTTTTGAAGTGCGCTCTTGGGGCAGTCTCATGGCGTGAGATTGCAGCCTTGCAAAAGCAGCGGTGGCTCTTGAACCAGGCTGCTTTTCGGCTTTGAGACAGGAGGGATCACTTCACTTTCATACTTTCACGCTGCGAAGACAGCAGCCAAACGTCTTGCTATCTTCGATCAGGCACGAGGCTGAGGGGGAAGGAGAAACGTCCGCAGATCGGCAGGTCATGCGACCCGCGCAACATGTGCACATGCATAGCTTATATCAGTAGTTGCCTGCGTATAGTGGAAGACAGGGGCATGCTTACGCAGTGGCAAACGCAGTGGCCTCCGGTAGGCATGCCTTGCCTACGTACGTCAAGTGCGGCAAAGTCGTTTCTAGGTTCGCTAGGCGCCGGACAAGGCCCTCATGGAGTCATGCATGAGCAGCATTACAGCGGGACGCAAACGAAGAGGCACCGTCCAGCATCATAGCATCAGCCACAGAACTGCTGTCCTGAGGCTGTGGAGTCCCTAGCTTTCACGTCTAGCTAGTATATGACGACGACATCAGGAGCAAACCGGTTCCTACGGGCTTGTGCAATGAACGGAATGCTTCGCAAGGAGATTGCGGTTGCTCTTCAAGCTTTCACGTTCCGCGGATCTGTAGCTGACGGCACCAAACCCTATACCACGAACGTCACGGAACTGCGCGTCGAAGGGTGAGCGCTGGTGTTTAGAGCATCTCCCTTCGACAGCGAAGAGCGACGGATAGTGCACCGAAACGCTCTCGTCCGACCAGCGCCGTTAGGCCGACCTTTCGGTGCCACGGTCATGTTACGGGCCCGATTCTTGCGCCATGCATGATTGCGTGCGTCTATTGGCGGAGTCTCAGTCACGATTCCTGCTGCGCGAGAAGTCGGTACACTTGGTCGGGTTCACCTTTCCGCCCGGTTTGATCTTGTTTACCGGTACCGAGCCCAGATTGTAGTAGGTCATGGTTGCTGCCCGGGGCATGTTGGAGCCCGCCTCGGTTGGTACTATAGTGACCACTGTCAACACTACCTAGGTACGTTCAAACTTCGGCTGATCCGACAGGCACCTTCATGCAGAGCTAGGATTGTCGTCCGATCATCGTGTCGTCCGTCGGATAGTCATCCTGCGCTTGGTCTAGCGGCTAAGGCGTAGGGATTTCCCCTTCACTGGGTGATGAAATAAAAGGATGAGCAATCTGAGGACACCACGCTCATCA